CAGAAGACTCAACTACTGAGCCACACAGACCAGGTCCTTTAGGATTTTTTATATACAAAATCATGTCATTTACAGTTATTTTTCTTCTGTCCTGATCCTCTTTTTCCTTGCCCTATTGCCCTGGCTAGTCCCTCCAGTGCACTGAGCAGTGGCAAGAGCAGACATCCCTTTCTTCTTCCTGATCTTTGGGGAAAAACATTAGGTCTCTCCCCATTCCGTGTTATTTGTGGGGTTTTCTTAGGTTTTTGGATGCTTTTATCATGAAGGGTGTTGAATTCTGCCACATACTTTTTCTGTGTCTACTGAAATGATCCTTTGGCTTTTGTCCCTTGTTTTGTGGATAAGAGTGTAGTACATTGATTTTCAGATGTTGGTCCAACTTGTTCCAGAGGGCGTTTTCTCATGCTGCCTCCTGGGTCCCATGGGTGCTCAGCTGTGGTAGCCTCTGGGCAGAGCGGAACTATGGCAGCCCAAACCCATCTTTCCTAGTTTTTCAATGGACTGTGCCTTCCTCCTGCGAAGAACCCCCTCAGGAAGACTGTCACATGAGAGAGCCTACCCCAGGCCAGGAGCAGGGGCCTCTTTGGAAGCTCCTGCGGATGAGAGGGCATGTGCAGAGGGTGGGAGGGGCCGGCGCCAGCGCTCTGCTGCAGGGCCCCCGGGCATCTGGGGGCTGGCCCAGCAGCAGTGACCACTGCAGGGGCCCAGCACAGGTGTCCACTGCCACCTCAGGCTTTACCACAGCGGGCCCCTGTCACAGGCTTCCCAGCTTTGTCCATAAGAATTGAGTGTCCCTGGAGGGGGGATGGTGACTGGCTCCCACAGCATTCCCGATCTGTGGCCCCTCCTTCTGCCAACAGCTCAGCTTCCCTCCTGCCCCAATACAACCCACCTCCTCTCAGATGGGACCTTGCCACTCTATTTCCTGGACTGCCAGGGAACGTGCCAGGTGCTCAGAGGGCCCAGGGAGCAAAGGGAGCATTTAATACACACACACACACACACACACACACACACACACACACACACACACACAAAGGGAGCATTTAATACACACACACACACACACACACGCACGCACATGCATCTGAATATTGAACTGAAAACTTGCTTTAGAAGTCAGAGGTAAAACCCGGGCTCTGCTCAGCTACCAATAGAGTCTCAAAAGGTGTTTTCTAGGCATTTCTGGGTGTGGAAGACAGCCTGGGAAATGCTGAGACCCCGAAATTCAGGACCCCAGGGTGTTACCTGGAACAGCGGGCTCTCCTCAAGGTCCCGCCAGCCCACCAGGCCCGCTCCGCTCCAGGCAGCCTCTCCCCGTCAGGGAGGAAGGGGCCCTTCAGGGCCAGCGCAGCACAGGATTCCACGGG